TCTACAAACACATCACCATCACCAAAACACATCACCATCACCAAAACACAATTTTGTCATGAATCCATCTGTGTCCTTTGTTTAATATGCACATAGACCAAGGTGAGCGACACAGGCTCTTTAGAGCCTCTAGCTAATAATAAAAATTGTAGTTACCCTTCTATCAATAAGTGTCATGCCAAAAAATTACTTACATGTCCCCGTCTTTCCACCAACAATACGATAAGGTCAATGTTTAATGGTTGCACATTTTCCTTAAATTTTGAAACTGATTTAAATTGAAAAACTAACAGTATTATCTATTTACTAACATGAAACAAACCGGGATGCGGTATTCAGTACGTAGGTGAAACCGGACGCTATTTATCTAAATGCACACAAGAACACCTTTATTGTTTTAGAAGACCCCATAAATTCAAAAGTGTCATTTATCAACACCTTCGGAAGCACAATCATCCTATCAAATATTTAACAGTTCAACCTTTAGAAGTAGTAAATAAGCAGCCTGGGGTCAATCTCATTCAAAATTTGTACGATCACGGAAAATTCGGTTAATGTCACTCCAGAGTTATGGCACTTTAATTATCAGATTTGAGTAAATACCATAACTTGAGTTTGCTTGATTGATATAGTGGAAACTACATAATTGTTGAAATTGGTGAACATAACAAACTGTTTGATATCCTCAGGCATGATTATCTACAGAGCTATTTTATTTGCTTTAATATTTATGGTCAAATGCCTTTGATATCACATTTTATTCTTACAACAATTTCAATATGCCCAATAAGGGCGTATCATGCACTCTTGGCGGACCTGTTTATTCAGGATGAAGTACTGTAAATTTCCAAAATAATTTTGCAATTAAGGAATTAAAACAGCACTATAATTGAAGAGTTGCAGCCGTCAATTGCTGATTTGATGGTCGCAAATACAATTTTACTGGCGATGGGTGGATTTGTCGGAAATTTTAGCCAATGTAAAAAAATTGTTATTGGATAGATACATAAAATTAGCATGGGATAGCTGTCGCATGAATAAGAACTCACCTTTTTAATTGACGTAGCATTATTTCTAATACTGACCACTCTCCATTGTAAGAAGTATTCTTGGCAACTGTTAAGTGAGACTGCTGACCATTTGTTTTTATGCCCCACTTAGAGGCATTATGTTTTTCGGTCTGACTGCGTCAGTTCTTTCGTTCGTCTGTTTGTCCGTCCGTCCCGCTTCAGGTTAAAGTTTTTGGTCAAGGTAGTTTTTGATGAAGTTGAAGTCCAATCAACTTGAAACTTAGTACACATGTTCCCTATGATATGATCTTTCTAATTTTAATGCCAAATTAGAGTTTTGACCCCAATTTCACGGTCCACTGAACATAAAAAATGATAGTGCGAGTGGGGCATCCGTGTACTATGGACACATTCTTGTTCTTTTTCTTTTTTACGACATGAGAATTGATCGAAGCTCAATTGATTTTAACATTTCAAATTTAGTTCTACAGTTCTAGTAATATTTAGAAATTTCATATCACACAAGGTATATGGGTATATGTGTCAAACTTTTAACAGTCTTTAAAAAAAAAATTTCCTTATGTGTCATCATGACATCAAGCTTAGTCTCCTTTCTTTCAAGCTTTTTAAACAGCAGAACCAGAAAACAGTAATTAATGAATGACTTCAACGAGACGACAAAGAAAAAAAAGAATTTTAACAAGACTTTGTTTATCAAAGAATGAACATCTCAGGAAAGGTATAAATCAGTGAAGAATTAGAGATATAGTCTTATACTGTCAAACAGACGGCAGTATGTTGTATTGTTTCTACTTAACTTTAACATTTATGTTGTTGTTACTCTGCAGGTCACGATTGATTTGTCAGTTTTACGTACATTGTTCCTTACTAATAGGATCAGTATGGTTTGACTGGATTAAAAGATTCACCATAACATCATTGATTTGACTACAAAGTCCTAGTATGACATTATATGTACCATTATAAAGGGATTATACTGTCTGTTCATTATATAGCTGTGTAAGATTATGGTCCGTTTGATTACTTTTCTAATCTTCAATAAAATGTCTTACATTGTCCAAAAGCTTGCCATTAAATCTACTGAATCATTACGTCTCCCTCTTTTTCATTATTGTATATTTTTGGAAAGCTTGCCAGTAAATCTGCTGAATCATTACGTCTCCCTCTTTAACAATATTATAGATCTTTGGAAAGCTTGCCAGTATATCTACTGAATTATTACGTCTCCCTCTTTATCAATATTGTATATCTTCGGAAAGCTTGCCAGTAAATCTGCTGAATCATTACGTCTCCCTCTTTATCAATATTGTATACCTTTGGAAAGCTTGCTAGTAAATCTGCTGAATCATTATGTCTCCCTCTTTATCAATATTGAAGATCTTTGGAAAGCTTGCCAGTATATCTAACTGAATCATTTAGTCTCCCTCTTTATCAATATTGCATATCTTTGTAAAGCTTGCCAGTAAATCTCTTGAATTATTACATCTCCCCCTTTATCAATATTGTAGATCTTTGTAAAGCTTGCCAGTATATCTACTGAATCATTACCTCTCCCTCTTTATCAAAATTGTATATCTTTGGAAAGCTTGCAAGTAAATCTACTGAATCATTACGTCTCCCTCTCTTTATCAATATTGTATATCTGCTGAATCACTACGTCTCCCTCTTTATCAATATTTTAGATCTTTGTAAAGTTTGCCAGTAAATCTGCTGAATCATTACATCTCCCTCTTTATCAATATTATATATCTTTGGAAAGCTTGCAAGTAAATCTGCTGAATCATTACATCTCCCCTTTATCAATATTATATATCTTTGGACAGCTTGCCAGTAAATCTGCTGAATCATTACATCTCCCCCTTTATCAATATTGTATATCTTTGGAAAGCTTGCCAGTAAATCTACTGAATCATTATGTCTCCCTCTTTATCAATATTGTATATCTTTGGAAAGCTTACCAGTAAATCTGCTGAATCATTATGTCTTCCCCTTTATCAATATTGTATATCTTTGTAAAGCTTACCAGTAAATCTGCTGTATCATTACGTCTCCCCCTTATCAGTATTGTATATCTTTGTGTTGCGTAAGAAAATTTATACAAACATTATGAAATAGATGTAGAAATATGCTTGATTTGCTTTTTGCAATTTTCTTGGTATGTCTTCTTTTTTTTCTGTTCGTTTTTTTTTTTGGCACATTTAATTACTGTTTTCAGACATTGAAGACTAAATTAGGTAACTTTTTATTGACCGAAACACATGCATTATAGAATTGTCTTCTTTTATTTTAGTTTTTGGGTTGTAGTTGTGATATTGTATTGATATCTCATCGTTTTATACCCAGCATCTCCTGTTTTTTTAATTCAATCTTAAAACCAGGGGGGTGGGTGGGTTAGACTGACATGGAAAAGGCAAAGACAACTGAAAATGTTTGTTTAAATTGGTGAAAGTTACCTTACAGTTTAAAGCGGCATGATTGACCAATATTAAAGAAATACGATCACCTTGTGGTAAAAAATTGGAAAAAAACTATATTTCAATTACCCATTAGTACATACTATCCAACAATTACTCTTCAAATTAAATGATTTATTCTTTTACATTAAAAAAGTTCTATAACAAGTTTAGAAGAAGCATGTCATTAGATATGAAATAGTATTGATTCTGGATTATTTTGTCATCTTGTTAGTCCAAAAATCTATTTGGAATATCCATATTCTTAAAATGATTGAAATTTATAAAAACAGACAAAGTGATTGAAATCCAGTAGACGAGTGTTGTATAGAATGCAATAAATGGGCCATATAATTTTTAATTGCAATGAAAACAGTAAATATTTATCTTCAATACCAATTGATGATACAGTTACTTTTGGTTATTGAATATCGTTTGTAGCATTCACTGGACAACTACAGGATTTATAGGCTGATGTCGTGTAATCAATAAAAAGAATTGTTAGAAATAAACAAGATACATTAGTTCCCATCACAAGCCAGATGCTGCGGACGTTTACATTTAAGTATGCACGGGAGTTTGCAATGTGAATAATTTCCATGCAGTGATTTTATTTCATATTCTACCTGCTATGATCTCGAGAAGAATAATTTAATGATTACTTTGTGATTTTGTGATGGGTTGCGGTTTAATAATCATTAACTCATGACATTCCGTATAAATGCAGTTGATAAAAGTATGTAAAAGAACATGAAAGTTTTATATTAATACTCGATCAACATGGAAAATGTTATAATGTGATCATAATTTAGGATTTCTTACGATTTTTATGTCCTTATAATGTTGAGGAGGTATATTATAGATTTGTTTCTATAGCCAAAAATGGCAATCACTCAAGTGTTAAATTTTAAATCTTCATAATACTTTAAGAAAATAAATGGACAAAAATTGATGGCCACTTGGGGTGATGAATTTTAAAGAGTGATATAATCTGATTCACTTCATAAGATGGACTTGCTTTATTTAAAAGGATATATATAACAATATCATGTTTTCTATAAATTGTTACAATTTGTATGTAAGCTTTTGGGTTTCGAGAACGTAAAGCTGCATTAATGATTTGAGTTAATAAGCCGATTTACATTGATTTCATGATTTTGACAATGTTTGAACTGTCCAAGATTTTCATCCATTGTTGACAGACCAAAATCATTATATTATACAGGATTACTTTAAATTAAATAACTACATAAATCATGTGACTTTCAAAATGCTCCATACAACATAGTTTCTCAAATATCAGATGATATATGTAAAAAACAAAATATGAGCATTTAATTTATTGTGGATATTATTCAAGATACTTTACTGATTGGTTATTTCAAATTGGAGAAATCTGTGTTAGAAGGCTGTGCTGTAATCAAGTGACAATGGGATCCACAGCTAAACTAGTAGAAGCTGAGAATTATTCTCCACTGTGTTCGTCATGTTTCAGAATGTTTTTCTCCTTATTCAGATTTGAGAGGCCTAGCCGTAACCCTGTTGTTGCAGAACATGTTCAGCCATCATCATCGACACATTCTGCCTTGAACGATTCTCTAGGAATGAGGAATCCAGGAACCTACCAGTCCATAAACTCAGCAGGACCTCAAACCCATCGAGTAAGTATAAAAACTCAATTACATATAAATGCTTTTATCTCTATAATTGTGACTGAACAATAATTATAGATTGATTATATACATTCTTGGTATATACAGTTTTATTCCTGACAAAAATTGATATTTGGCTGTTAGTCAGAACAGTTACTGTCTAGCAATAGATGAATATTAATGTTCCAAAGAAATAGTGGTTTACATCTCAGAAACTTTAAATCTGAGATTCCTGAATTATGGTATCAAGCTTCATGTGAGTGTTATACATTGTCTGTTCATTGCTAACCAATTTCCTGTTTACCTAATACTTATATATTCTTACCCATAATCAGTCATGTATGAAATTGTCATTGGTTTTTCTTGGGAACTATAAATCAATCCTTTCTGAAGTTTGGAATCAATTAATCTTCATGTGAGCATGTTAAACCTGTGAAGTGTTTTAACATCCATCACTCATCAACTTCCTGCTCACTGAATACTTATACTGGGGGACTCATTAGTGAGCAATTACTCACAGTTCAACCTTTTAACAAAAATTAATGCCAGTAGTATATTTAATTGTTTCACAAAGGATTAAATAAGAGTTTGATATGTTTTTGATTCAAAATCTTTGCAATTAATTATCCTTTTGCCTTTAGTACTTTTCCTTTGAATAACTTAATGATGCATTAATAAATAAATGGAGACATATTGGATACTGTGTGATACATCAATCATTACTTTACCAGAAAAAAAACCAGATAAAACCATCTACTTCCAATAATCAAATTACAGATATATAATTCTAATATAGTGTTTCTCTTACGAATTTGATTTTTGATTTAAAGGTTTTCATTTAAATATTTTATTAAAAGAGCTTAAAATATTGAGATTTAAAAAAAGCATCCCTATTATAAGCCTGTGTTGTAGTTTAGATAGCTCAAAGTATTATATACTATAGTCATGTTCTGTCTTAACTGCTTCTTATTAAAAAGATTCAGTTCTGAAAATGGGATCACTTAATACATGCATCATATGCCTCTTAAACTACAGGCCTCAAAATCTTCTTCCATCCCATATCAGGTTATAAAGTTTGGATTTTAAGATATTTTACCTTGAAGTCATGGTCACATCTACTTGAAACTTAGTACATCTACTAATTAAGATGTGAATGCCAAATTAAGGTATTGACCAGACTCACATGGACATCATGTATCCAATGCACACATATTCTTTGTTTTTATAAGTACAGTGAAACCTGTCTAAACTGAACTTCTTCAAGACTTAAGATTTTGTTGGGTTTTAGCAGATGTTTGGTTTAATCAGGTTCACAACGTATATATTTGATAAGACTGGACTTCAGAATTTGTTTGGTTCATACAGGGTTTCGGTTTATGCAAGATTCGGTGTAGACAAATTTCACTGTATTTAAGTTTTTATATGTTTTATTTTACAATTGAAGTTGTTTTTTCTACCTTAAAAAGGAATCCCTGACTTCAGGCTTTGATTTGTAATTCTGATTGAATGTCTTAAAGGCAAGAGTTTGCTCAAGCTAGGTCACAACATAAGTGATTTATGTGTTATGATCCTAAATTCCTAAGCTTGAAATAAGGCATGAAATATGATATTGACAGCTATTTTATGAATGATTTAGTATTAGCCATTTGACATGCTTGCTTGTAGCTTCTGAAGAGAAGTATGAGACTCCTAGACATGTGTACTGGAGTAGATTCTACTATAAAAAGATGTTTGATTACTTTATAGAGTAACATGTGGATTGTGTATGGAGAAGATTAAAACTATCAATGACATTAATATTCAACCAATCAATTATAATTAGTACTTATCTCATATCACTAACAAAAATTGACAATGACTTGGTCTTACCCAATCAGATATTAGATATGACCAAAAACAATTTTTCTCTTATATTAAGCGCATTTATGCTTTTCCCAATTGGTTTTTATACCTTTATATTCATTTGAATAAAAAGAGACCAAATTTTTGTGGGTTCAAAGGACACAAAACATCTGACATCTAGGGATAAATATATGCTCTCGACTTAGGCACCGGCCTTCACAGCTCCCAGAGATCATCATTTGCAGAATTCAATTTATAAAGGACATGAAAATATCACTGTTCTCAAGTTTTGCTATTGTTACATTGAAAAGGACATAGATTATGTCTCCTTGTAAACAGTTCAACTTCTGATGTCCGAAATGCTTGGTTACCTCACAATAAAATATTCAAAATTTATTCATATGGTTCAGAAATATTTCCTATTTGATGGCATTGTAGAATTTATTTTCATACAAGGTGACAGTAGGAACTTGACTCTCTAAGGACTCAATGAGTCCATATACTGATTTATATAAAACATTCATTTAATTTATAACCTGAGTAACAAAGGGGTATAGTTTGGAAAAAAGTATTATGGTTTTTCATGTAACTAAAGATCTTGAAACTTAAATTTGCATAATTTATATTTCGGTCAATGAAAAAGAGGTACATTCCAAATTGTACCAGCTTTACCAGATGCATATGGTTACTGATAAAAATACTCAATATCATAGGACAATCATTGGCGGTAGAAAAGTATGTTATGTAACAGAATGAATAACCAAACGGTTAGAGTCCTTGTGTAAAACTAGCAAGTAGAAACTCAAGTTGATGAAAGGATTTCAATTAAAATATTATACACCAGAAGATAACATGTCCCAGTGACACTCGCTTAAGCAATTTAATGCTTCATTGAATTTATATAACTTAGAATTTGTATGCAATATTAGTTTTATTAAGTTTGCTGGTTGCATGCATATATGTGTTCCTGCTTTGATAAAATGGAAATAAAAAACTTCAAGTGAAAGTGATAAAGCAAACATTAAGTGTCATCCCACAGGTAATTAGTAACGGTTTTAGAATTATAAGATTTATGTAAATTAAGCATTGATGTTTGATACCAAAATAGCTTCTCTGTATTAAAAGTGCAAGTCAGTATGACTTCATATGTTATCACCAGTTTAAAAGTACTTTGAGTGTACCTTCTGTATGTAACTGCCAGTATATTTTGATATGCTATTATTTACAATGCCTTTATTTACAAATTACATGTACCGGTATGTCATTGTTTTTATGCCCCCACCGTATGCATGGAGGCATTAAGTGCTACCCTAATGACCGTTCTCCTTTCCGTCCGTCCCTTTTTCGTTTCTACACTAAAGATTTCCTCCTCCAAGTTTTATGAAACTCATATATAATGCTATGAACCTAAACTGGCAGACAGAGTTTGAATTTAGGCATTGAGTTACTTACTGTTCTGAAGTTATGCCCTTTATAACTTGGAAAATTGCAAATTTTGTTTGTTTTCACACTCTAACTTACCAAGTTTGACCCATTTAAATTTTATAAAACTTATAAACAGTGCTAAAAACCACAACACACAGACAGAGTTGGAATTTCCGGAAGTAAGTCATTTACCGCTCTAGAGTTGTGCCCCTTTTTAACTTCGAAAATTGCAAAGCTTGAGCAGGGACATTCGTGTCCTCAGACGTAATGATTTCTATCATCATGTTTTAATGTACCTCTTGTTTTTACTAATGATCAAGTTTTAAAAGTTGGAAGGTTGTCGTAATCAGTGCTACAAAATCAGTTTAACCACAACTAAATTTTCCGGAAGTCTCAGGATCTCCATCTAGATATGGTTGCCTATAGTCTTATTTAATGATTAGTTTTTCTTTAGGGAATGAATGTTGTTGATAATGATGGATTGGTCTATATGTTTATCTTTAAATGTCTTGATCTTGAGCTATGGTGTTGCTGTCCTTATTTCGTAACCCCCTTGGTGGTCTTGTGGTAGAATGCTTGAGTGTGTTGGATCGTTGGCTGGGTCATACAAACAACTTAAATCTGTATGTCTACTTCTCCACCATTAGCTTGCAGCATTTAGGGGAAAGAGCAAAGATTAAATTGCCCCCAGAGTCAGATTAATGTTTCTGAGTCATATGATATGTCTTCCAGTAGACTGTTCTGTTCTGAGCTAGCACAATAAAAGTCCAGCTAGCATGATGCACAAAGCAGGGTATATTTATATCTTATTAACACACTATCATCCTGAATTTCTTGTTTGTTTGAAGCCATCCCACAATATATTTCAAACAAATAAAATTTTGATTAGCAAGATTGTTTTGGATCAAAATGCCCTATAATGATTTCAGATATTTTTCTACTAAATAAACAAAAAATGTCCACCCCCTCATGTTATTTTTAAAATATATAATGACAATCTGTTGAAATAGATTTTGTAGTGACCTTTACACTCAGGTATGACATTACTAAGCATTAAAGATAAAATTAATATCTGTTGTATTAATGCATCCTTGGCCTCAGAAAGGATCATTTAAATATTTTGTTTGACGAAAATATAAAATTTGAATATCAAGGTCTTTATTATTCTCCAATTTTAATACATAAGTTGTAACAGAGAACATTTACATTGTTGTTAAAGCATCTGTTACACAATTGTACATAGATTTCAGAGGACATTCATTGACTATTGAATTGTTATATAGATTAATATCTACATTTTTCCACATATGTAAGAAGTAATCATTCTATTACCAGTTGGAGATCCTATTCAGTTGTGTCAGTCAACTCACTTATGTTTGGCCCTCAGAAAAATGTTTTTTTACTAAATGGTAATATGTCATCATTTACAAATGCAGTCAATACTTGTGTACTGTTGTTAATTGATGAAGAAAAAACGTTAAAAGCAGGTGGAAAATTATAAAGGAGTGAGTGCAACACAGCAACAGTTGGTTATCTTATCTGATCAATGAAATAAATGATATGCATTTATGAATAAGTTGTTGTCATTGGCCTATTGATTTTCACTGTTTCCTTTCCTTTGAAAACTACACTTGGCCAATTGAAATGTTCCATGGTTAGTTTGCTTATCAGCCTAATTCAAGCCATTGACAACAGCTACTTATCAAAAACATCCAAGTTACATTTTTGATATCACTTCTGAAACTACTTTGCCATGAAAAACGCAGATGTTCTTGGGTGGTCTTCTCTCATATTCAGCAGCCCACATTTATACTGTTACCTGCCATTAGAGTCTATTGTTTTGCTGAATCATATTTTTTGGTTCTCTGATACTGATGTGCCATGCTTACAAAATTTCGGGTACTGATAATGAATGAATTTCCGATTTTTCATATTCTTGATTGTCAAAGTAATAAAGGAAAAGGTCCGGTAACGGGCTAGTTTTGGCCTAAAATTAGAAGTACATCTGATGAAAAATTTTTGACATTTTTTAAACACTTAAGTGTCTACTTCGGTCGATTCAATTAATTTATGGAAAAGATTTGAACTGAGTTGGTCATTAAAGATGCTCAAAAAACATTACTTTTCAGATGGTTTTTGTCTAAAATGTAGGTGGCCGCATTCATGTTCAGTCTCAACCTTTATATGTTATGTATTATTATCAAATACAACATACATTTAAATATTAAGACTGAACACAACTGCGGCCATTCCCATTTTAGACAAAAACCATCTTAAACTTAGCACAAATGCTGAAATTGTGAAAACTTCAGTAATTTTGCATTACTTTATGATGCTTAGGTACCTGATGCATGTGCATTGTATTGTCATAAACAGCCCATATTTATGTAACAAAAGTATTCTTCTTTCCAATAAATAGATAAAAGTTTACGAAGACCTGGATGCTTCATATCTTGTATACAGATACCTTATGTTACGAAGTTTTCATCTGTCATATGTCCATTGTCATTGACCTCATTTTCATGGTTCAGCAACTGCTTGAAAAAAAAATTAAAAAGTTTTTTTGTCATGTGAATTTCTCACTTATTATCAGTAATAATGATAACTTAATATTTGGTTTATGGTTTCCTTGCAACGTCTACATGTTTGTCAGACACTGTTACCTGACCTCGACCTCATTTCATGGATCAGTGATCAAGGTTAAACTTGCGTGATTAGGTCTGTTTCTCAAATGTTATAAGCATTAGGTCAACTATATTTGGTGTATGGAATGATTGTAATGGGTACATGTCTGTCTGACAGGTTTCATCTGATCTAGACCTCATTTTTATGGCTCATTGGTCAATGTCAAGTTTTTGTGTTTTGATCTGTTTTTCAATTACATTTATATTTGGTGTATTAAAGAATTCTAAGGTGTATATGTCTGTCTTACAGGATTTATCTGACCTTGACCTCCTTGGTATAGAATTTTAAAAATTTAACTTTATGTGATACTTTTAGTAAAACCTTTATCTTTAAGACTTTCAACATAAAATCAATGGACAGAAAAGCAGGCGAGACATTTCAGGATGTGCTCTCTTTGTTTTGAATTGAGGTTACATCATCATCATTGCAAAAAGGAGGTGAAAATTAAATTTGTGAAAAGGTTACACTAGGTTGAAATATGTATGGAGAAATGATGGTCCAATGTTTCCTCTTTCAGTTTTGTACTTTAATACTTAGTAAATATAGCATCTTCCCCAGAATGGTCTATAAATCTGTCCATCACCACACATTAGTAAATATAGCATCTTGTCCATAATGGTCTACAAATCTGTCCATCACCAGACACTCACTCACTAGTGATTCAGTCAGATTGCTGATAGATGTTGTTTTAATGAGGTGATGTAATAGATAATCAAATAACGAATAGTTATACCAGTCTGTCATGATGTATCTATAATTACATTCCTCTCAGTCTCTCATTATGGACAGTATCAGAAAATTAACCTTATATGGAGTGCAATGTCCAGCTGGCAGTCTGAAACCATATTCAGGACTTGCATGACATTACTTCATACTAATATACATTTTTCTGACCATTTGTTGAGCGGACGATCTCTTGCTATAACACCGAAATGTCACATCCATATAATGTAAAAGCTGAAAATACCAGTCGTAGTATCTTTGATTTGACCTTACTGATTACCAATGACCTTGTTTTCATGGTCATAAACAAGTGCTACTACAAGATCATTGAAGTCATCTGGTAACCTTAGATAAAAATTGGAATATCCAGCTGAAACATTTCTCATACATGTCCATATAAATCCATAGATTCTCTGTAAAATCTCTAGATTCCATGAGAATCACTAGAACACACCCATGGAGAAGGACCAGATTACATAAGAATCACTAGAACACCCCCATAGAGAAGGACCAGATTCCATGAGAATCACTAGAACACACCCATGGAGAAGGACCAGATTCCATGAGAATCACTAGAACATGCCCATGGAGAATGATCAGATTCCATGAGAATCACTAGAACACACCCATGGAGAATCGAACCAGCTTCTACTGGTAAACTGCTACACATTAGAAGTCTTTAATAGTTAAGTAATTTGTTTGTATTGTATTTACAGAGAGACTCTAGGCTTGTGCAACTTCAAGATGAGGTATTATTCACACTTTACAATTATTCTACATTATATGATTATAATCACATGGTTTGAAGTTGATAAGTTCCATGTATTCAGCGGCATTATAACACCTGAACAAAGCCTGAATCACAGAACATGCATGTATTGGTAACAGTCATTTAAAAACTTATATATAATACATCCCTTTAATGTTCTAGCTACAATACCTTGTAGCTTTCTTTAATATATTGACCTATAGAAGAGAGATATGGCAAAACAAAAAGAGGAATCTGACCAAATATAAAAATGGATCTGACCAAATAAAATTATATATCTAATAGTTTTTTTAATATTGAGATCTAATAAAGTAGAGGGATTTGACCTTATAAAAAGAGGAATCTGACCAAAGAAAAAGAGGGTTCTGAAAATTAAGTTGGAAATCCTGAAAAAAAGTAGAAGGAACTGACCAAATTAGGTAGAGGGAACTGATTCAAATAAAGAAAGGGACCAGACAAAATGAAATAAGGGGTCGGAGCAAGTAGAGTTAAGGGCTCTGACCAGATTTAGAAGAGGAATTGAGAAAATAAAGTTGAGGAATCTACCCAAATAAAATAGAGGGATAGAAGAAACTTTTAGTCAATTATGGTGTACTAAATTTGTTTTTAAAATTGTATGTTTGACACTATCAAAGTGTTTGAGTACCTGTCAGAAGTTTTGGTCTTGTTGAATACATGGATTTTTCCAACTTCAAACCATAGGATTCTGATGACAATGTTAAAGTAAATATTGTCATTTTGCACATTTTTTTTCATTTTTCCCCATTAAAAGGGATTATCACTTGTATATCAAAATACACATATATCTGATCACTTGAGCTTTTTAGTTTGAAAACAAGACAGTATTAGACCTGCTTTGATATTATTATCATTTCATATTTAAAAATATTCATATTCATTAAAGTATTGCATTCTATCACTAAATATATGCATTCATTGAACATTTTTCTTAATAGATCAGAAAAAATGCATACTTTCTCAATTTTATTGTAAGTTGCTTATTGAAATTATTAGTTCATTTTATAATATATTTTTTTTAATTAACTATCTAATTTAACCTAAAAATATTTCTTACTGAAGTTATTTCATTAATATAGTCATTTGGAACTTTTGGCACAGTGCTTCTATTTTTGTAAGTAAACAATTAGATGCCATTAATTGAGTAATAACATTATCATTGGAAAACACGCAAGGGTCTGTAAAGTCTTGACAGAGTAATTGTAAATAAAAATTTAATATGAAATAAGGGATTTGACTCCAGTATTTAGTTTATATTTGACTCCAGTATTGTTTATATTTGATTCCAGTATTGTTTATATTTGACTCCAGTATTTAGTTTATATTTGACTATGGTATTTAGTTTATATTTGTCTCCAGTATTGTTTATATTTGACTCCAGTATTTAGTTTATATTTGACACCAATATTTAGTTTATATTTGACTCCAGTATTTAGTTTATATTTGACTCCAGTATTTAGTTTATATTTGACTCCAGTATTTAGTTTATATTTGACTCCAGTATTGTTTATATTTGACTCCAGTATTTAGTTTACTGTCTCGCCTGCGACGAAAGTCGCGGAAAGAGAGACATAGGGATTGCTTTTCCGGCAACGGCTCCAGCGTCAACAAGTGTTAAGTTTTCTGCTCAAGTTAGTTGGATAGGAACTACTTGTGATAGATCATTGATATTTAAAATAAAGTTGCATTACTTTCAGTACATATCAGTTTGATGACTATTTTGAGGCCTTGCCCCCGAGGACATGGTCCAGTGACTTTTAATTAATTAGCAATTTTCAATGTTAAGTTTTCTGCTTAAGTTAGTTTGATAGGATCTACTTGTGATAGATCAATGATATTTAAAATAAAGTTGCATTACTTTCAGTACATATCAGTTTGATGACTATTTTGAGGCCCTGTCCCCTCGGTCATGGTCCAGTGACTTTGAATTAATTAGCAATTTTCAATGTTAAGTTTTTCTGCTTAAGTCAGTTTGATAAGAACTACTTGTGATAGATCAATGATATTTTGTATAAAGTTGCATTACTATCAGTACATATCAGTTTGACAACTATTTTGAGGCCCAGTGCCCCCTAGGACAATCATGGTCCAGTGACTTTGGATTAATTAGCAATTTTCAATGTTAAGTTTTTCTGCTTAAGTTATATTGATAGGAACTAGTACTTACAATAACAACGATATTTTCTATAAAGTTACATTACTGTCTGTACATCTCAGTTTGTTGCCCTGCCCACTAGGTCATGGTCCAGTGACTGAATTAATAAGCAATGTTGCTGTCCATCTGAGATTGTCTTTTTCTTAATTTTATGCCGATAGGCAAGACATATTTCTGTGTCAACAGTTTATATTTGACTCCAGTATTGTTTATATTTGACTCTTAGTATAATGTTTATATATGGTGTGTAAAGACAAGGAAACATTGCACATTCTTATATAAAGGATTAAGAGCAGAACAGGAAACTCTTTTAATCCTAACAAACTGGATTACACATTCTTAGCATATAATAATGTCATCAGAGCCATTAAAAATCACTTAAATTGATCTCCAACGAAGTTACATAAAAAGAGATAATAGGTAAATATAACTACAAATACATTAAGGGTTATTTCTGTGTAAGTGCCAGCCATTATCACTCCTGTATGTAAAGTTATGATCCTTAAATGTCCAGTATCATGTGTTCCAGCTGTTAAAATACGGGAAAGACTATAAAATCAGATGATTTCTGAAAAGGCAATAACGGATATTGTTGGATAGAAATAACTTGTACTGTGAGTGATGGAGTAAGAAATGAGAATTTCCTTTATATCACCTTTAATCAATAAACTACTAACTTGGTGTTGTGGCTGTAAGCCGTAATTACAGAGTATTAACATGGTCATATTCCTTTTTATATTTCAAGGTCACAATAATACAACGCAGAGTTACAGTCTAAACACAATAATCATCCTGCCAGTGTCAGTCAAAAAGTTATACTGAAAGAAATCATTCTTATATAGGGCCAGTTGAACCATTGTTATATAATACCCTCACTATATAGAAGTGGGGCTATATTTCTATCAGTAACGTAATGTCTGTTCATCCAACAAATATGGATGAAGGGGGTGTTGTTTTTTTTATATACATGTATATTTAAAATTCCTTGTTTTGCTATGTTCAGTTAAAAATAGGGGTGATTCTTGTTCCTGATAGGTTAGTTTGCAAATATTTTCCCTACTCAAGGTAAATTGGTGAAGGTGTCTAAATTAAAAACAAAAAGATATTTTTATACTTTGTTGAAATGTACTGGTAGTTTATATATAAAGTATTCTATTTTCTCTAAAATAATCAAGTAAGTGTCACAAAGTTTTTTTTTCAAGCTAAAGACAGGCTGTGCAAAATGATCAGATTTTATAAAGAGGGTGGTAAAGAGTTATTTCGTGCAACGTGATGGACGTTTTTTAATTTTCAGGTTCAATGTGTTTCAGTCGTGCAGGACACTGGTGTCTTGTTCAATGTGTTCTGCTTATTTAATTTTATGTGCATTGTGATTTTCAAATGCTTATTTTGTGTGCTGGTATTTTTCAAATAAAATTCATTAGGCAGGGATCGTCTGAAAAAATGGATTAAATTTTGTTTTTTGATGGAGATATTTCCTCTAATTCCCAAAGGTTAGATTGCAATGTAATTATTTGTCCAACATTAACCACTGAATGTGAACCACAAGTTTATCTATTTCTCTGTAACTATTTTAAAAAATAAAAAAAAATTGTGGTATAATGATTGCCAATGAGACAACTCCAAATGAAGCGGATTTACTATATGTCTCCCTACAGCTATTGACATAGTGTGCAACACATGGTGACGGTCAAAGGACACAAGTCATGAGCACTGAGCAATGTGATGGTGTCAGGAATATGACAGTTGCTTTCCACTCATTTGATGTGTTTGAGCTTTTGATTTTGCCATTTGATAAAGGACTTTCTGTTTTGAATTTTCCTTTGAGTTTGGTATTTTTGTTATCTAACATTTTTCTAATAGTTTTATATCATATAATGTGTTCAAAAGAGAACCACACAGCTGCTTGTTATTAAATCATATTTAAATCATATTTAATGAATTATGAAAAAAATGCTAAGAGATCACAACTGTTTGACTTATCACTTGATCAAGTTATACTCAGACAATGACAACTTCCATATATGTGAAATTGTGACTAAAAGGAGGTTTGTGGTTCAATTGCCAATAAGACAGCAACCCAACAACAGAAAACCAAAAGACATTTAGTGTAGTTTATTTTAACTATATAAAGAGACAAAGTCACTAAAGCTCTACTGAGTGAGTGAGTGAGTAAGTGAGTTCTGATAACTGCAAGTGTTTATAATAGAACCTGTTTACTCAACACAACCAATGACTGATAGAAATTGATCATTTCAAAATGGTTATGTTTATAGGTCGTAGAAAATATCAAAAAGTAAATATTTTTCAGAGTTTTTCAATTAGTATTATTTGAGTAAAGTTGTATCTCATATCATATTTACATATGGTTTGTTATATTGTTTGTCTGTGGAAAACGTGGTCTTCCTGTCCTTTTGTTGTCTGCCAGATAATTGGTCAGTAAATCTCTTTGAAGCCTGTTATAACCATCAGTGTAATGATGTACAGTATAAAGATTCCATAGGAATCAATGAAAAGTGTAATTTGATAGAATGAAATAGAGGCATGTTCAGAGATATTTTATTTCTGTAACCAAACAATATGATGGTCCATTTAATGTAATTATTTCCTGTTTAATTGCTCACTGCAATATTTATATCTTTAAATTGATTTGACTTGCTTTACATTTCTGATAGCATTTAATGCTTTAAGAATTTTCTATTGCTTTGTATACAGTCATTTTAAATAGCATTATCATGGAGCAGTCAGAAACCAGCCTGGCAATACCAATAAAAGGTTGTGTGTGGTAAATGTCAATGAGAGACCAG